CGCGTTTGAAATCGCCACTCCGGCGGAGGCATTGCGAGCGCCCTGGGCTTGTGAGCTGCTGGCGGTCGGTCGCTGACCGCTCCCCGGATTGGTTTCACGTGGGGTCGTATTTCGCTGCCGGTCCTGTAGTAGCCTAAAGATAGAAGCCAGAAGAACCCCATAACTAGGATGTAGGGGGAATGGTACCTTATTAGGGGTGCATTTGGAAACATCCCAGTTATGGGAACGGAGGGGGCCCCCTGAGGCAGGTGGGGTCCGCAGGGTGTGGACTTGTCTCCCCAGGTGTCATTCGCTTCCGTGATGAACTGGTCTTTGATCAAAAGAATGGTAGGCTTTGTTGACTTGGAGACCTTTGGGCAGGTTACTGGAAAAACATTTTAGACACGAACAAGGAAGTCGACGTTTTAAAAGAATACAATTGAAAGGTATATTCCCGGTAGTTGTTAGCAGCCGGCCACTTTACTCCTAAGAATGGCAGCACTGAATCTCCGGTTTGCACTAAGGGGTATGACCTAAGCACAACGCTGGCTGTGAACACAACTCACCTTGTTTTAACGTTTGACAATATTTACAAAAGGAATTGTGTATGTAGTAGAGCAGACTTCCTTTCTTTTCAATCAGGAAAAGTATACATTGCTGAAACAGGTGTCACAACCTGATGACTTTCCTTGTGTAATAAGCTGAGAAGGATGGATGGCTTATGCTTCCACAAAAGACGTTTTCTGGGAATAAACTCAATCAAGGTTAATTGAAAAGGGTTGTAGGAGGCCGTGTCACCTGTTTGGAATAAAGGAGCTCAGAGGTGGAGGAGGTCAGAGGGATCCAATTAAAAGCTTCTCCAGCCCAGCGCGACCCCAGTTATGCCTTACATAAAAGCTTGTACAACTTGTACACTTCACTTATTCAGAACAGGGCCATGTTTCCAATGCAAAACTGCCGAGTGGAAGGATTTGCTAAAAAGGACATCTTGTCGACCTACAGCATAAATAAAGGATATGGTTCTCATGGATTAAAAGGAAGAAAAAAAACTTTCTTGAATACTTGTTATAGGTGCTGCTTGAGTCCCAAATTCCACAGTAGTTAATTAGGGCCCTTAAGTGTTCTGGATGGGCACAGGGTGCTTTGGTGGACAGCCCTATCAATATGTTAGCTTGTGACTGGATTTTATTGGAGGCCCCAGGTGTACCATATAACTAAACGCCATGCTCAAAAGTGGAGTGCCACGTTTATTTTTTAAGTGTGTGCGTTGTATTGCAACCTTTTAAGAAGGCTGTGGATAGTTCTCTTCAGCTTAGGAAGGTTAAAAATGCTCCTTTCAAGTTACTACTCATTAGAGAAAATCTCTTGGTTTAAAGTATTCATTATCAAAAATATATATATACAGCACAGAAAGCCTTCTCTGTACATTTTGTAGACGCTCAAGTAAGTGTCCGGGATGACTTTATGGGTAATCTGCCTTCT